ACGGGCTCCAGTGCACATTCTGATGGGAGCCTGAGGAGCAGAGTGACAGTAGGACACATACACAGGTAGACATTTCTAAAGGGCAAGGACCCCCAGCCAACAGCCAATCACACAATTACACTTAGTTAGATGTCGCAGTGCTAAAGCTAATGGCTGCACAAGAGGCACTGCTAAGGCAGGGGGCGCTGTCCAACTGATCATTCCTGTGTGTGTGTGTGTGTCTGCGTGTGTCTGTATGTATGCGTGTGTATGTGTGTCCGTCTGTGTGTGTCTGTCTGCGCATACACACACGCACACTGTCTGTCTCCGGCATAGGAATGAGCCTGGTAGCTCTGTGAAAGCTGCTCATTGGACGCTGGTTGCCTGAGATGCTGTGAAGGCACAGAGGCTGGCAGCTCTCTGGGGGACACGAGGGGCCCCTGGACCGGTTCTGCCAGCTGAAGGGGGGAGCACAAAAGTGCACGGCCCATGCCAACTCCGCCCCGAAACGCCGGGCGGCTCCGTTACAGAGCAGCCCAATCTCAGCGCCCACAGGGGGTATCAGGAGAATCAATATGCCGAGCAGAACAGCAGAGGGCACGACGGCTAAGAAAGCCTGCCCCCAAGAAAACCCGCCCACAAGAAAACCCGCCCCCAAGAAAACCCGCCCCCAAGCCTGGGCACTGGGGATGTTAAACACAGCTCGGGTTCCAGACCAGACTGCAAAAGCCTGTCAGCCATGATGTGACAGATCAAACTGTACAACTGCTATTAAAATGATAAACGCAGAACCAGCACCGCTCATTCCACATGGGTCTGCGTCAAAGCACATACACACACCTGCACATTATGACAATGCCGCAAAAGCAATATGTTATGCACATTTCTTCAAATGTGTGCATGTTTATAAGTCGGGGGGGGGGCGGTAGCAAGGGGACAAAGAGACTCATCACAGTGTCACACATCCTTCTGTCACATATCTGTCTCCCACATTCCAGTGTCACACGCACCCTTAGTTCCACATCCCTATCTCTGACATCCCGGTGCAACACACACCTTTTGTTCCACATCCCCATCTCCTACATCCTGGTGCCACACACATCCTTTTATTCACATCCCTGTGTCATACATTCATGCTGCCCGATGCATCAGAAAGATCAGTCAGACGGACAGACAGACAAACACAATGAGCCCTGCAGAGACCTTAATGAACAAAAACTTTGTTTAGTAGCCTGGCATAACGACAGGAACAGGTGAGCTCTTCAGGTACCATTCAGGTCTCCAGACATGTAACACACCCCGCTCTCTCTCTCTCTCTCACTCTCTCTCACACACACAATAGCATTCTTCTTAAGAAAACAAAAGCATTCTTAAGGGACTCTGAAGGCCTACAAAGCACAAACGCTTACAAAAACCATGGCTGACTTTTTTTCCCCCTCAGGTTAAAATAATCTTACTGGTGGGAATTAAACATAAATTCAAGCTGGAAAGAAATGAGTGAAGACATTAAACACAGCGATCCAACGCCCTTCTCCCTAAACACCGCGATCCAACGCCCTTCTCCCTAAACACCGCGATCCAACGCCCTTCTCCCTAAACACCGCGATCCAACGCCCTTCTCCCTAAACACCGTGATCCAACGCCCTTCTCTCTGAGCACATTTAGTTAATGTGCAGAACGGCATGCAAGATTTTGCATTTTGACAATCATCGTCTCGGTAACCAAACCCTTGCTGCAAAGCAGATTTGGGTTCAGTTTCAGCCAAATGAAAAGTAATAATCCCACCTGCTGGATTTGCGTCCAGCAACATGCACTGGCTTTGTGCTGAAGCACTGCATACCCAGACTCCAGGAGCTTGCTGTCTCAGCCCACCTGTATCCAACATCGGCGAGCGCAGCCCCCACTGCAAGCACCACTGCCAAAGCAAGTCATGGGAATTTCCCTCACTGCAGGCCACACTGTTACAGTTTCATCATGCTTACTGATGACTGATGATTATTGGTTTACCCAGTGGTCCGTAAAATGCCAGGGTATCATTCAGTTTGCATGGGACTGCATGTGGATTTGACTCAATTCTCATTACACCACTAATCAGCTGCAAGACACTGTCCGTCACAGAATCACAAGCTATTACTTTAAAAAGTCCTCAATTTTTTTTTACTTTAATCTCTTGAATTCAATAATATCACACCTCCTTAAAATGCAGTTTGAAGTTCTGCTTCCCGGCCAGTGGACCACTTGCATGCTTAAATGCATCTGCACATTCCAACATGCATTACTGCTGCAGATGCTCATGGGTGTGTGACGAGGCTGCAGCACAGAGCAGTCGCCAGTCAGCTTCAGCTCATCCTGAAGTCGCCTTTGTATCATAAGTCACCCCACCTGCTTTTCCATGTACTTCTTCAGTACTAAATAAAATGCACTAGAATATGCAACAGTGCAGCTTTCAAGAACCAGGATTGGCTGTGGTCCCTTCTGAGGATTATTCAAATCTATTGAGGAAACGCAGAAACCGCAGAAGGAATCAATAATCCACCCACAAGTAGGAAGACTGCTGTCCTCTTGGGAATCATATTGTTGATATGAGTTTACAGTTGCACATTGTATCAGACACCTTCACTGAAAACACATTTGTGGGGAAGACAGGAGTCAAAGTGACTGTGTGTGATTTCATTTTGCGGGCTGTGTGCAGCGTGACAGCTAGCCCGCATGAGCACTGGGCAAGCTGGCCAGGCCGGAAGGCTCCTCTGGTTACACATGGTGTTCTCTCTGCCTGCATGCAAAATGTTAGGAGGAACACTCACATAGCATGAGAAGAACTGCAGAAATGAAATGGTCTCACGTGTGGATTGATGTTCAGCATCATATCACTGCACCTTAAAGCTTGAAGTCAGTGAGATCTGTGATGCTGTTCCTGGCATAGTGTTCCTCTGTGGGTGTTTACAGACTGACAGACCAAGAAGGCTTTGGCCCTCATCCGCAATGGTAACCAGGAACCCCAAGCAGGGGCCGCAAGCAGAGGCCACAAGCGGGGGCCTCCTGCAATTTCACTGTAAAATGAGACAGCTTGGCTGCTCCCTGTTACAGTTTGCTGTGACAGTGAGGAAAACAACAGGATTGTCACATCCCCCACCGGAGCTCGACACATCCTCCCTCTGCACCATTGCACAGAGGATTAACAATATCATTGATTCAACCACTGAGTTAATATACCACTAGTGGGGACGAGATGGAGAGGCTCAGCCCGGGTCAGCAGCTCCTCTGCAGACAGACACCTGGACTGGCGCCTCTCATACTGCTGTGTGCCACTCGCTTCAGGGGCATCTAGCTCTAGTTTTCAAAGTGCCTAAGAGCCACCCAAAAAACAGGCGAGGCAACTTTAAAGCACATCCTGTTGCTCCTCTGAGACAGTGAACACATCCCGTCGCTCTGCTCAGACAGTGGACACATCCCGTCGCTCTGCTCAGACAGTGGACACAGACAGTGAACACATCCCGTCACTCTGCTCAGACAGTGGACACAGACAGTGAACACATCCCGTCACTCTGCTCAGACAGTGGACACAGCCCGTCGCTCTGCTCAGACAGTGGACACATCCCATCGCTCTGCTCAGACAGTGGACACATCCCATCACTCTGCTCAGACAGCAGACGCAGACAGTGGACACATCCCGTTACTCTGCACAGACAGTGGACACATCCCGTCACTGTGCTCAAACAGTGGACACATGCCGTCACTCTGCTCAGACAGCAGGCACAGACAGTGGACACATCCCGTCACTCTGCTCAGACAGCAGACACAGAGAGTAGACACATCCCATCACTCTGCTCAGACAGCAGACACAGACAGTAGACACATCCCATCACTCTGCTCAGACAGTGGACACATCCCGTCACTCTGCACAGACAGTGGATACATCCCATCACTCTGCTCAGACAGCAGACACAGACAGTGGACACATCCCGTCATTCTGCTCAGACAGTGGACACATCCCATCACACTGCTCAGACAGCAGACACAGACAGTGGACACATCCCGTCACTCTGCACAGACAGTGGACACATCCCGTCACTCTGCTCAAACAGTGGACACATCCCATCACTCTGCTCAGACAGCAGACACATCCCGTCACTCTGCTCAGACAGCAGACACATCCCGTCACCCTGCTCAGACAGCAGACACAGACAGTGGACACATCCCGTCACTCTGGTCAGACAGCAGACACAGACAGTAGACACATCCCATCACTCTGCTCAGACAGCAGACACAGACAGTAGACACATCCCATCACTCTGCTCAGACAGCAGACACAGACAGTAGACACATCCCATCACTCTGCTCAGACAGTGGACACATCCCATCACTCTGCTCAGACAGTGGACACATCCCGTCACTCCTCTCAGAGTTTAACAACCCAAGGTGCCAGTAGGCTTCCAAGTGACAGCTCATCTCCTCAAACTAATTAATCTCACCTGATTATTTAAATTAACATTTATACAGTTTAATATAGTTAATAATATGTTATAATATATCTTTAACCATTATTTATAGGTGGCACTGAAAGAGAGCAGTAACCACAAAACTGGGTCATGCACAAGCACTGGATGGCGGGCAGCTAATGAGGAGGTAACCAGTAACCAGGTTATGTCAGTACATTCCAATATTCCCTGAACAGAACAGCCTTCAACACACACATTCTTCAAGACTACAGCACGCATTACAAACTCAGGAATTTGACATCCTGTCCAGGCACGTATTTACTGTTTGAAGCCAGCAATTGTGTTCTTTTTGGGAGATTAAATAAATAATGCAATCCCTATAGTCCCTGACAAAATGTCAGAGTGGAATCTGTTTCCAGCAGAGCTGCACAGCCAAAGGGGACTCTGACTCTGCTGCTGCTTTTCTGGCTGTCGTCTCCTCCATCTCCCCCAGTAACAGATTTACGACACTCTCTACTGCAGCCATTCACAAGCTTGTTTCGACCTTTACTCTCAATGGCCACAAACTATTCAAACGAGGTTTCCTGCAGTTTAAATCTTGAGCAGCTGACTAAATATGTGACCCATCTGCTGAATGTGAGGACAGACTTTGGAGAGACGTCCGCACTGTGGAGTCTGAAGAATGAGCGAAGTCGAACAGCTGTCACGGTCTGAGAGAACACTGCCATAAACAAGGAGCGAGAAAACTGAAAACAGTGAGAAAACAGCCAAATCTAGATTACAGCAAATCAGATTACAGAGGGGAGCCTAACCATCCGCGCCCCCCCCCCCCACGGGGCTGTGACAAAGATACGGGTGTTTTTATTTGTTGTCACATAATATCCCCAGCACCACATTCGCACATTTGCGAGAGATCAGATAAGAGGAGCTGCGAGTTCCCGTGGGTCCGCAAGATTTAACTGGAACAATCTGATAAAGTCAACATAGATAGTCCATCGACCCAAACTATGAGAAGGATACAATATATAGATACAGGGGTGCTGAGAGGTGCTTCATCTGGGATTTTTTAGAGTGTAGAGAGAAGGTCTTGCATAGTTACAGCTCATGCCAAAAGCAGGAGTTAAATTTATTTTTAAATAAGCAAATACAGGTTGTCCAACAACAGCACATGCACTCTCAGCATCTCATTACTCCTCGACTCAAGAAAAGCACAAAAACAGCCATAGCTAGCTTTGCTGGCCTATTTTTATGTAATCTACAACAGGCATCCCTATTAATGTACCAAAATAATTATTTGCAGTGCTTGCCTATCCTACGTGAAGGATGAATTCTTTACGTTCATCAGTCCAAAACCACAGCTTTTGAGTACATAGGACACAGTGTATAGGCCTACAGTAATTACGGGAATGTCGCATATAAGAGGGCAGAGAGCCATTTTACCCCCCCCCAAAAAAAAAAAAAACTCTTTTCCTCCCACTCGGTCTGAAGTGGTACTACGGGAGACACCCAGCGCGCGGCGTTGCAGCACGACGCCTCGTGCAGGCAGCACATGGAAACGTGCACATCTGACAAAATCCTCCTCGCTCGTTTTGAAGCTCTCAAATAGATTTGGGACCAACCCCCCGGGCGTAGCACTCCAGCTCTGGTTTAAACCCGGTTCCTCCCGATTTCATTTCATTCCCCGTGCAGAATAGGTAAGATGGGGAAACACCCCCGAGCACTTGCACTTTGAAGGTCTCCCCGACATACTGCGGGCAAATCGCGTGCTCGCATGGCACTTCCTTTTATTTACTACCCAACCCCAATGCGGACAAACTATTAAGTTAATTGACAATATAGGGCATTGCCATTGGAGGCGATCGCAAGGGGGCACGTCCAACAAGCCATAACGCGCTGGCTAGCTGCATGTTAAATGATAATCTTCTCCAGCTTCAATCCGAAGACGACGTGCTGTACTGTTAAATCTTGAACGACAAACCCCATATTGGGCTTCCGTTTATAATATTAAAACGCTTGATAGATCAAGAGGATGTGTCCTCGCGGAAAAAAAAAATTGTAAAGGGCGGTGTGTTCATTTATTTATCCACTAAAGTCTGTTTGGCACATTAGGAGGAAATGGGACTAAAATGTGGAGAACTGAGACTGAGGCCCTTAACGTGTGACTGGTTGAAATTCAACGTACTAAACGTGCTTAAAATACTGTATGTACTTAAGAACATGTAGGCACAGTAACGCCAGGGGAAGGAGCCACCTTGCAGATCCTATGCTGTCGTTGGGCTTTGCTGAGCCATCTTCTCCTCCACTTTTAGGCATCCTTGGTATACATGCATAATAATGCCAGTCAGTGGAAAACCGCAAATCACAGAATAAAAATCCCTTTCATATTTCAGCGTTACTGTCGATTCAAAGGCACGTCGCGCTTTTATAAATACACCGGTGAAGGACCGGCAAGCGAGAGATATTCAATATGCAAGTGTGAAGACATTTAACAATTCTTGCGAAGGATAGCGAGGATAAGCTACTAATGGTATTTTCTGTAATACTCGAGCATTTCTTTGAGGTTTTCGTTCACATTTGGTGAAAATCATGTCAAAAACTCATGTGAGCAATACAGCTGCTTACCTGAGCATTTAAATTTAAATGGCACATTTGTGCAGGACATAACCGGCTGGCTGGTTAGCTTACAACACCAGTCCCAATGGAAAACCTAATAAGGGTTAGGGTAGGCAGTCAGAACATAGTGTTAATGCAGTTTTTAAAAGGCCAGTGTGCACACTAGATAAAGCCAAACGAATCCCTCAAAATACGTGAAATTATACACTTACCGGCATCATCTTTGCGGCTAAGTCAAACCGTAGCGTACATCAGCAGCAGGGATGGGATTTCGGGGGAATCAGTCCCAGTGAGCCGATAGGAATGTCGTGTCGTTTTGCTTCCAGTGGGTGAACGGGGATGTTCTGTCCTTTTGCTTTACGCTGCTTTTCTTCCTCCGTCTGCAATCGGAGATGCGATCTGGGGCCAAACCGCAGCGCGACTAAGCGATCGGAATCCTCGACGTCCGGCTGCCAGCCGCCACCACCACCGCTCGACAGCGGCTCCCCAGATGCGTCTCTTATTTTAAATGATACAAAACGAGCCTTCCTGCATTACTAGGGAGGGCCTGGTCGAATTCAGCCGTGGTCTGCACACCGCATAACGACAGCAGCCGCCCCTTTACCTACGCACCGTTTGCGCCGGGTTGAAAGAAACCGTGCGGAGGACAAGCGTTTAATGAAATGGTGGGGCAGCTATCGGAAACCGAACATTTTGACTATAATTTAATTGTCTCACCTATGCCAATGGTGATAAAATGCGACGAATATTTATATTCTATCTTTAGATATGTACAGAACCTGGCTCCTTTTTATTCAGTCCGGCTTGTCGTGGAGCCGGCACACCGTGTATGGCTTGCTTAATGACTGGTCCAGCACACGGAGCAAGGCGGCAATTCCTATGTGACCGCCGATTCTGTCGCCGGTTTCCAACAGCTAGAAGAATGAACAGAAAAAAGGAGGTGTAAACGGAGTCAATACATCTATCTACTAATCACCGGCTAACGTAAACGTGTAGAATAACTGCAGCTAAACGCACGTCGCTAGTCCTAAGCACAAGGATGCATCCAGGGCAAGGGCAGCCGCATCGGGGCTGCGGCGTTTCCCTGCCTGTAACCACCAATCTCCAACTCTGCCCAAAGCAAGAGCATTAACGCTCAGCAAATCAGGGCGACGGGCGCATCTGCGGCTGCATCTGATCTCCGTACCGCCAGCCAGCCGCCGAACTGCTGGATGCTGAGCCGTTGATCCGTGTGTAGTTAAAAGCTTAAATATGACCCAGGGAGAAACGAAGACGCTCCTCTCGGATGCCTTTCGTTAACCGGCACCGATTTCTGTCGGTGGTTAGGTGTGCGCATTCCCGGGAACGCCGCATAATGTCCGAAATCGGGCACTAAGGTGCGGGTAGCGGCGCGCTCCCCTTCCTCCTGCGCCCGTAAGTGTAGTAAATGACGTCACGCCGTTGTGTGGAATGCTAATCTGGATTAAAGAACATCCATTAAAGTTACGCTTGAATAAATATTCATTCTTTGCATATAGTAATTTGCTATTAATGTAAAACAAATATTTCGCAATTCCATGTTACTACGCTGCGCAATTAGGCCTGCTGTCTACTTATACAGTAACCAAACTGATACAATTTACAAATATTCTGTCAATGTTCAAGAATAAAAATGACTTTAAGAAAAAGGTAAACCTATGTTGTTTTGATAATGCAGAAATAGATTTCATGACCATGGGAATTCCCAGCTGCAGTTCCACATACGGTCGGTGGATGTCCCGTGATGATACTGTACTTTCAGAACAGGATATGTGAGGAAACTCGCTCACCCGTACATTAGTAAGGAATCCCACACCTAATCTTGTGGGTGGGAAAAGGCCGAAGTTCCGGCAGTACTAGCAGTAGGTATCAGCAGGTTCGCTGCTGCCCTAACCAGACGAGTACAGGGTGTCTGCCATGTCCTTCCGAAGTCTCGCTTTAAATTATGTATCTGACGGCCTGACCGGACGGGGGAGTGACTGTCGCGTCTAATATGCATATGCGTACAATTCAGCCACTTTCAGGGGGGGGCTGTGTACCGACCTGTAGTCTGTAGCCAATTTGCTGTTTGTTCAGTATTTAAATGTTATTTTTACAGCTTTGTTTTGTTATCATACATAGGGCAGAAAAAGCAGTTTATCCCACAGCACTCAGAAGTGGTTTGGCAAAGAAGAAACACCTGGTTTCAGACCATAATTTATTAGTATGGTGTACAGCCTCCTTTAGCAATGTGATTGGGGAATGACAGATGCAGGTCCTGCAGTGGCCAGAAGGATTTTGAGCCATTCCTCTTGCAGAACAGTGGAGGAAAACATTTTCTGTCTCACTCCTCCAAAACACCTCAAAGTGGCTCAGTACTGTTCAGATCGGGTGACTGTGCAGGCCATAGATGATGTTCAACTTCAGCAGCCCCACCATGAGCTCTGACCCTGTGGAGCGCCTACCCAGCAGTTTGGGTGGGAATAGGAGGGGCATGGTGTGCATTTAATTCCGCAGTGAGTTGGGCAACTTTCATGTTTTTTGGATACAATGCAGACTAGTACCCAGACATCCCTTTCAGAAGCCTCCTCTTGTAGCCACAGTTACTCCTGTTGTACACGGGCCATCCTATTGAACTCTGTCTCCCATTATGTTGTGTGGATTGCCATATTTTACGTACAGCTATGCTATTGCGCTGCTAATTCAATTTCACACCGGTCTAACTGCTGGAATGTGCAATCAGTGAAGGCTGGCCATCAGGCTGCACATATACACACGATACCTCAAATGCTATTGGCCACCAGGCTGCACATATACAGACCTGATACCTCAAATGCTATTGGCCAGTGTTTCTCTTGCATTTCCTTTTTCTGAAATACTGACCGGGACAAAAAAAAAATCTGCAAAAGGAACTTCAGTTTATTGCATTGCAATACAGACAGCCAGTCTCCTGAGCACATGGAGTATGTTGCATCACATCCCAAGAGCTGAAGAGGCCGACAGAAGGAGGAGCCAGTAGTTGGGTATATCGTCCAATCAGTGTCCAGAACCTGAGGAGTGGATTGGAGGGAAACTTACTTCATCACAACATTGGTTAAAAAGGGCAATGTTATACATGGCATGTTAATTAAAGCATGTGTCACCCAGGTGACTTCATGTAGGTTCCACCACATAAGTGTCACAGCCAGAAATGTCTGGGTAATTCTCAGCAAGCCACATTTACTTGCTTGCTTGTTTCTGTACACCAGAAAGCTAAGTTGGAGAGTAACTAGGAAGTCGATGTACTTACTGCTTTTGACTGCTTTCTTCCCTGTGAGAAATAAAAAAAAAAAAAAAAAAAAAAAAAAAGCCAGTCATTGGCCAGGACACACAAAAAAAGCAGCACAAAGCAGTATATGTTTTGTATTTGATCTTCTTTTAAGGCCAGAGCCATTTTGTTGGTATGTCTCAGTGCAGATCTATTCTGTATCGCTCAGAGGAAGCCCCTCCCAGCTGGGAGACCCTCA